GTTTATTCCTAATAAATAAAAATAAAAACRCTAATATTTTATATATTATGGTTTACATCTTATGTAACTCGAATTTCTATCAGGCCGTCGCTGCGTTATTACTTCGTAAGCTAAAAATGAAAACATGTGAGAATTATAAAATGTGTTTTTCATTCGTAAAAATTGAATACTTATATGACTTATATATTATTTATTTTCTGACTAAACTTTCAGATAATCAATATCGGTTGGGTCTTGGGTATATATTTTATGAAATACTTGAAGCTTCTTTCAAAATATTATAAATTATTAACCCATAAAATAACGGTTTGAAATTTATTTATACGCCTGTATACAAATTAGATCTTAAATTAATTTAAATTAAATTAAACAATATAGAAAACTTCATTAATTTATTATTACATACCTACTTAAGTTAAATGTGAAACACAAACTGATAAACCTTTTGTTTCTGACCTACTTTATTCATGAAAAATAAGGTATATTTTTTATTTACTCAATTTAAAATTCTTAACTCGGAGAGAAAACATTGGGTTTTACAAAAATGTAAAGGTACCTACTTCTTTCGAGTTTAAAATTGTAATTCATGTAAACTCTTTTAAATGATATTCTAGCTCTCTAATCTTCTTATATTTATGATTTGAATTWTTACAATATCAGTTAAATATATGAAAATTGTATAGCTTAATTCAGATAATATAATATAGTTTTCTTTGTTTTCAAGACAAACTACACGTATGTTTTTCGATCGTTTGAAGAAAAAAAATGAAAATAATATGAGCATAATRTAGACTAATTTATTGTAAACCATAACCAAATATCAATTTCAMAAAACAATTTCATTTAAACAWAATCCATGCATAATATAGGTAGGTGTTTATATTTTTATTATTCGATGGTATCAATTATAATATAATTTTCCGTAAATCATAAAATTATACAAAACAATAGTGATAATAATAATAATTGAATACCACCTATTAAAMTTTAAAATTATATTATACTTTATCATCTTAACAACAATGGAAACAAAATGCATTTTAATTAAACACTGATTCTTTGCGTACATAACATTATTTATAATTGACATAAAGAAGAAGGGGTCATATTATTTTCGTTTATCAATGATTAATACACTATTAATACCACAGAGAATTGAGGGATTTGAGGCTCAGAAAGGGCCTGCTCTAGGGAGGTTAGGTTATTCGGGAACTTACTCAGAAAACTCGAAATATATTTATTATTTTAAATTCATATTCTTACTGAATGARATATAGTAGGATATTATGGAACATAAAATTCATGCCTAAGTTGACCATGGTAACTTTTTGCGCCGTTCGTCGTTCTTATACTCTTWTTTAACCCTTCTGTCGACAATATTGGTGAAAAATGATTGGTTTCAATATAATTATCCGATATTTAATCAGAAAAATCATAATATTATTTTTCTTCTAGACAAGTAGCCATTATTTCAATAAACATCTCAGAAAATCATATGTGATGGTAAAGAAGGCAAACCAAAAAAATTTTTTTTGCCATAATTCAGATTCTGGGGGGGGGTAGAAGTTTTCGCCTTTCACGATACATAGACTGTTTCATAGCATCAATATTATCTGCACTCTCTGAAGACATATTATACATAATTCTTACCTTATAATTTTTAAAGGTTTTTTGTTTAGATGTAATATTGCGATTTAAGTTTAACGGCACATCGAATTTCTTTTAATCCTGGGTTCATTTCATTTGTTTCATGGTGTTGTTCACTTTTATTCTGTTTKATGAATACATTTACCTTTGAATTTTTCGTCACCTTAACACTACATAACTTATTTATTGCGACGCCAAACTAAGTCCCCGGAATTTGTATTTTACGAAAAATTCAATATGAATATTTTTGRTAAATTATTGACTGCGCACCTTAATTATTTGTGTACACTTGTATCACGTCATCCATTTTACGATTTCGATGTTTAATTACTTTGTTAAATTACTATAAATGTACTTGAAGTCGAAAAGAGTCGCGATCACACTAAACGATGTCAACTCATTGGGTATTAATAATTAGAAAATAAAAACCAAAATCGTATCTTATTTGATGAAATAAGAAGCGTGTAGATATAGCAATCTGCGCATAATCCCGAAAGTTTTATTTTTATAGTATATTTAGTTATATTTTTTTTGGATCTTGATTAAATATGATTAACTGGTGTGTGGTACTAAACGACAATGTTATTTTAGATAAATGTATACGTTATTGATATATATATATATAAATATTAATATGTGGTATATTGAACGTTTTAATTTGGGGAAAATTTGCGAGATTAAGATATAAAAGTGTGCGGTTTTGAACGACGACGTGTTTTTAAAACTGTACGGTTATGAACAACGCCCATCGGACCAATGGGTATGTATGGCTAGTGATGATTATACTCAAATAGGTATGCGACAATGCCGACAATTATTAGTATGGTGCAATTACTTATAATATGACATTATGAMAATAAGTTATTGCAATGARTATGTGCTATAGGTCAATGATTATCAGTAGTYAAGTACTGTTATACCTTTTACTCGAATTTATTACGTATAACTTTTGGTTTTTATTATTGATAATAATATGTATTATTATGACCAGTGTGGTAAATACCGGTTATTGTCTTCAGTTGGGTGAACTGCGTAAAACCCTCCGCTAGATGAATACTATAAAATACGTTTTAGTGTAAAACTTAARCTCACAGTACAGTGTATTTGATAAATTGGTTTGAAAAGTGTAATATCTTTTACCCCGAGGTATAAAAATCTTAATTGCTAGGTTATCTACTGACTAGATATTTACACACAAACACCACTCATAACCATYAATTTTTTGGATACCTATATCTCATCGACGAATCAACAAAAAATGAAAATTTGTAAAAAAAACGTGAAAATTCAATAAAAAATGATTGCAACGTGTAGACACCAACGCACAAAGTCTATAGTAAATCCTTCGTCTAATCCAGTCGTTTGTTTGGTGTCATAATAACTTTAAAAAATTCCCTTTCAATCTCGTTAATTGAACGGCTCGGTTTCAACTTAAACAGAACATTATAATATTATATTTATAATATCCTATCATCCATTAAGTATTGTATATTGTGGTGTATACACATGACTCATATAATAATATGCACTTATGCATATATTTGATATGCATACAGATATTCCGTTTGATATTATATTAGAAATATAAGTGGGTCGTACACAAAATATTTCCTGCCAATACAAATCGTATATTATAATGTATTTGCACTGATACAAGGGAATTTAATTTGAAAGGGATACCTCCCGGCTACCGAAACTATGCATATATTTAGTTATACTTTGTTATATCATATATATATATGTGTGTGTGTGTGTGTGTGTATTACGTAATGCGTGTGTACAGACTGTACAAATATACTCACCATACATTCATTAGCTCATTCGTGACTGCAACGGTTTTATTCAGATCCCATGATAATAGATAAAAATATATATTTATGTGTGTTTATWTGAAATAATATACTTATTACTTATCCGTTTTCTTTACCTACGTAAGAATCGATGTGAATAATGTAATYGTAAAATAATATTTTGTATAGACTAAGCACGAACACAAAACGTTATTATCTTATTCCATTAGGAGCTTAAAATAATTGATATTCGATGTAAAAATAAATTCATAATTATTCAAATACTACTACCTATATGATATATTATAAAACCTATACATTATAATTCATAGGTAAATGCCACTCTGAATTATGGTCTTAAWAATATTTAATCATATTAAGCAATATAATATATTACGATATAGCAATACAATATATTACCATATAATTAGCCATTTTTCTTGAGCGAAAACAGTATTAAAAAAAAWTTTTGCATAAGATCTTCTTGATTATTATGATTGAAATAATTTTAAGAGCATTCACTAACGGGCCAAACTGGTTACTCAAGTCCCGTGTTTTTCGAACATCAGCATAACAGAACAGRAACTGTTCTGAACAGTCGTGTATAAAGGACCACGATGTTGAAACGACAAAAAACTAGCCATTTCAGAGCTAACGCGATCCGTCTGACCTTGGGTCACTATTGAATCTCGTTGTCTGGCCACATCAAAGAACGCTACTCTTTTAAACTGGAAACTTTACGTGGTCCTTCCACACAATATAGGTGAGATGCACAAATCGTATGTTAGAAAATTAGACTTCTCTTATTGTAAGATTGAGTCGGACACTATATCGCCAGTTTGAGGACCACCATCCGTGCCGGGGTAGGTTCACATTATCCACCAAACTTGTATATAATTCATATAATATATTCACACAAATCAATAAAATATGAAACGCGATTACAATAAATTAAACTACCGAGCTTATATTATTAGGTACACGAAGTGATCCACAGACACGTGGTGTGCAGTTTCAGCATATTATTATAAATTATAATAAATCATCATAATATTGTATACAAAATTACGTTATTTTAAACCGTTGTTTAATAATCTAGAGACCATAATATATTTTCAAAATGTTTATTATTGAATTAATGTTTTATTAAACGATATTATTTAATTTAAAGTTACTTTTGATAGCGGCGGCCTGTGAGAATAAAAGTTATTAAAATTGTTACAAAACTGCAATTTGGTGTGTTTAAATTCAAAATTAGGTACACTGTATATCATGGTTTAAACATATAGGTAACATAAAAATATAACCCAATAGATACGTTATTACAACAATTTATTTAATTTACGTATTATAGTACAAAAAAAACTCGAGGCATGATTGTTATACATTACAGATACAATGCGTTCTACATTATCTGAAATGCCTATCGTTCTTGAGGGCATAAATGAAAATACAATGTCTTATTATGTCCAGACAACTATTATAACACAAATGTATTAATTCGATTTTCTTTAAAATAATGTAAACTTGAATAATATTTTTACCAAATATAATATAATAATATAATATTCATAATTATTTGAAACTATTTAAAATTATCCAAATTTGTTAATTGTAAGGATTTTTTTTAGTTCCATGCATTATCAATCTAAGTTTTTCTACTGATCCAGTTAGTCCGGCAAATAAATTAGAAGTCTGAAAAATTAATATTTAGCCACGTATAAATTATATATATACACATAATATAACGCCTACATATATTACACAAATGCATAGTTTAAGTGCTTTTAAAATAAATTACTGGTTTAAGCCTGTTCTTAATATGTTTAAAAAAATGTACCTACGATAATTATTCAAACAATTAATTTTATTTTTTTGAGTACTGGAAATACTATTATTTCTTATTAGGTTTTTATTTTTTTTTTCATGTGATTGCTCTACCTAATAATTTTATTTTCTAATGAACCATGATTATTATGTCCAATTAAAATATAACTTATATTTTTAATATAGGGTTATGGAAATGAAATTTTTAAAATGAAATCTAAATCTGGCAATAGAAAATTTAATAAATCATCATGAAAAAAAACCATGACTTCAACTTGTTTAATTCGTAATTAAAACATTAGAATAAAGGAGTTAACAGTTTTGTAAGATATTATATTGAGTTAAAGTTGATTACAAAATTATGAAATCAAGAATTAAGAATGTGGGACAACATTTGTCTATTTTCAAAGTTATTTATTTTATCTCTGGTGTATTTCAAAATTAACTACAGTGATTATAACACAACAACCAATAATTTAAAAATAATTCCTTACAATATAAGTTTGTTTAAAATCTTTTTGAACACCATACTTTTAGTATTTGAAAATATATACTTTAGTGTTAGTGTTTCACTATTTTATTTTTTATTGATATTATTATATTACTCGTTAAGACTATATAACTGTCTTGAACCATAATTACTTCATCTTTGACAATAACCGTCCACTCCCCAGACGGGGTTTCACCCCAAAATTGTAAAGATTTTATTTTCCATTCAAAAAATCCATTGTTTGACTCATCTAAGGGTCGTGGCTCCATCATTTTACACGTGGTGTCTAAAAATATAACAATTCCATGAAACATCAATAGTCTTATAGAAATTAATTTGTGCAGGACGCAAGTATAGGTACTTACTTTTTGGTGATATTAGATCTATTTCGACCATACCACGTTTGGGGTACTGAATGGTCACACATAGTTGTACGTGCTCTAAATATCTTATGTATCCGTTGCAGCCATTCGTTAATACCGTGGACACAAATTTTGAGGCTCGACCAAAATGTTTACAATTTTCACTTAAGTTTTAATTATTCCAAAATTTAAAATAGTATAATATTTAGTAGAATGCTGTACTATACTCTAATTATTATAAACCTTAAATAATTATTTTATTTTATTTTTGCTGAAAATGTTATTTCACTAATACTAATAGGTAACATAAAATATAAGCTACGTGTGTATGATTTTTATTTAATGAATTGCATAATTTGAGATAACTTTCTAACTTTTACTACTTTTATAAGAAATATAAAAAATTACCATTTTGTTTGTACATATTTACATTTTAATAAAGTAAATATTGAGAATTTAATTTATTTACCCTAAAATATACTTCAATTAGCCAATTTATACATTTATTAAATTCAATATTAAAAAACTAATTAAAATATAATGTGGGCTACAAGAGTGACTTATTACGTTTATTAAAAAAACAGAARTTACAATATCTAACTCGGGTGCGTTGTAATATATATTTTCCCAAGTTTGCAACCAATATTAGGGATTCCCAAGAAGAGACATTCAAAGAGATTTGTAGCTGCACTAACTTAATGCATACCTAAACATCTACATAAATAAAATAACACTGTAGTAGGACGCTGTTTATCACTATACCAGCTATCTGAACATCAAAATAAGTAAATTTGCAAATATATTATATAATGAAAAAACTCCCAACGTTATTGGTGTTTATAATAGCTATTTTAAATATATGAATACATTTTTACCACCTATTTTAATCTTGTAATCCGTTAAATCAAAAAAAAAAAATCATTTTAATGATTTTGTTATCCACGTTAATAAAGAAATGAAATATTTCCATAATAAATGTTATAGATTATATTTAAATTACTATTCAAAATGTTGGTGGTGTCAAAGTTAAAAAGAAAATGAGATTCCTAATCAAACTTATAAGATATAAATGTACCATTTCCCTAGAACTATCCTACTGGTCTAGCTGTAAGTAATAGTATAGGTAATAAGTATTATGTAGGTACCTATTTTTGATTAAATAAATATTTTATGACTTACGGGATTCGGAAATTTGCAGCACAAATAATTTTCTTTGGTACAGTGCTCCAGCCAATAGCTTCTTTCACTAACTTATAGGCGTTTAATAATCCAAAACCAAACTGGGGATTAAAATCGAATCCTGCTGCGTTAGTGGACCAACCAGAATTTTTCAACAGAGGCGCAACTTCGCAGTTCCTTACCAATAAATGTTGCACGTCTCTCCAAGTCAAATTTCCACTATACTAGCCAACAATAGTAAAAAATCATTTGCAAAATATGTCACGCGTTTACAAATCTGGACTAATAAAATAATTTATTAGATGTCCGACTCAAGAGGTTAAGTGTTTTTTTTTTTTTTTAATTAGAAAGTCTGTTCGTATACATGATGATAATACGACACTTATGTCAATATATACATATACTTATGGATATACCAAAACATAATAATAATTATTATTGCAGTTTAATATTAACAATATTAATCAACTTCACCAAACCTACATCAATAATATATAGATAGTGAATGACAGAAATGTCTATGGTGATTAAAACACACACACACACACACACACACAAGTCTAATAATATAATTAAACCTATACCTAAGTTTTTCAGCAAAGTTAAAAATGTGTATTATTTTGTCTTTGAAGCATTTATCTCGTTGAATATTTAATTAAAAACTGAATTAAATTGTTCGCTTTTATTGTGAGTGAAAACTTTAAATCTAAATAATTTGTATTTGAACTATTTAAACTATTTAAAGGGACTTCCATTTAATTATTTTAAAATATGATCTTAAAATATATATCCTAGAAATACGTCCATCTCCATACATTATAATAACTTGCTTAATCGTACGCTACATTTATAATACAAAATATATTTTTTTTTCTTTATAGGTAAACATTAAAATACTTTTATTAGATACAGTAGGGTCTCGATAATCCGAACGAGATTGGGGAAAGGGTCGTTCGGATTAGCGATTTGTTCGGATTACCTATGGCTTAAAAAAAAAACATCAATTTTATTTTTATTTAAAATATGAAATTTTATTTTTATTTGTATTA